CATAATTTATACAAGTTTTGCCTTCCACAATTGTGTTTTACATGGAATCTATATTTAGGTATATTTATTTTAACTTGTATGAAATTAAAGTGTTGTTTTTCATAATTTATTTATTATTTTAAATTTACTTTATCTAAAGTATATTAGAAATGGACATATAAAAGTGGGATCCAGACATACTAAAAAATCATCTTTCTAGCTTTCCCTAACCAGATGCTCGTATTTGTGTCCTTTAATTGTTTTTTATTCTCTGCACCTATACTCAAATAAGCAATAGGCTCCAGCAATGCTAAGCTGCCTGCACCTGCACCTCTGCTCTATTGTTTTGTACCTCTCTTAGTTATTTCTCTCTTCTTTGCACCTCCTTAAGTCATTCTCAGTGGCAAGTTTCATTCTAAAATGTCTAAAACTGCCATATCACCTAAACAGATTGTGACTGTTGAATGACATAGTCTCTCAGTGCACAAACTCATTTAAAGGCACGATCAGAGAAATGAAACACTATATTCAATACCGGCTTCAACATGTTCTATAGACTTGAAAATAGTGTATATCTAGTTTTATCCTGATGAAAACCCATCTTTTCCCTCTTTTTAATTATAAATTTCTTATTACGTTATTATTTTTGTCTATGTAGCATCTCATTTGATGAGTTTGAAACTCACTAAGACCTCCACTAAAAATGGTCGTAGCATAGACATTGGAGCTGCCTAAAGCTTGAGGTATATATATCTGGGCCGGAACAAACCAATTCTAGGTCCAAAAGTTGTCTTTATATTAGCCAGTCCGCTGAGCACCAAGTAGTCGCGGCCCACCAAACCCAACAGCCAATGCAAGGAGCAGCTGACCCGAACTTCCAGCGCTAGAGGCTCTCAGCCCACAACGTTGTTGGTTTGCTCTTCCGTTTTTCTTTTCATCTAATAATCACATGATTCACATCATGTAAGTTTATAATTTATTACACCTCCAAATTGTCGAAAGAAAACTTTAATATTTTAAAATATAATTGAGTACTCGAATGTCTAAACTAGTTCATTCAAAGTTGGAAGTTTGAATCTAATATGAGAATGTAGAAAGTTCTGATATCAAAATTCGAATTCTTATTAGTGCATAAACAGTTTTTAGTGACGCTTATTTTTTTTTCACTGACGGTTCCAAAGAGCAGGCACCACTACAAAAGAAAAGTGTCGATCCATGTCAAAAAACCACTAGTGTAGATCTATTTTCGCTGACGCTTCTCTTAAGCTAGCCACCAATATAAATAGATGTATCTGTATTGGTGATTATCTTTTTTTTACAACAAAATACTGTGGGGGAGATCCCCACAGTGAGATTTTAATATTAATTTTAGGGAAAGAACGTACTTATATACAAGGAATTAACTAAAAGCATCTGACCATACATAGAAAGATAACCTCAAGTCATCCTTAAAACGAACAGACTGCAGTAAATATTGATTTTTAAAATTGGCTAGCCAGGCACTCGGACTCGGTTGTCGCCTCTGAAAGACCTTGTCATTCCGCATCTTCCACAATTCCCATGCCGCAATCAATGTAGCTTCTGTGAAGAAGGGTAGGTTGTGAGCCAAACTTCCCTTCACCAATCTATCCAAGAGCTGCAATGATCCATCCCATGCGAAGTTCAGAGCAGCCCAACATTCCTGTGCAAAAGGACAGTCAAAAAATAAATGTTCGATGGTCTCCTCTTCCCCATCATCACACATGATGCAGAAGATACTGTCTTGAATGTTCAGGTGCCTTCTCCTCAACATTGACTTGCTGTTCAAACGGTCCACTAGAATTAGCCAAGCAAAGAACTTGATGCGTGGGGTGCATTTGGATTTCCAGACCACCTTGAAGATTGGATGGGCTTGCACATTGCTGAAAATGTGGGAGTAAAAGCGTCTCGAAGTGTACTTGTTACCCCAGATGGGCACCCACTGATCGATAGCAGTGTCATCATATGGGATCGACTGTAGACGGGCTTGCAGATCCTCAAACTCCTAAAAAGCTTGCTGCGATAGTGGGAGAAAAAATAGACTATCAAGATCCTTAGCCTGCATGGCTTCCATCAGCACCGTTCGTTGCGAAGGAGACCAATCATGGATAGTCTTAGGACAGCACTGATTCAGACCACAGATCCTCCCAGAAACAAGCTGATGAGCCGTCCCCTAGTTCACACTTAGCAATTCTTTTGAAGATGACATTGAGGCGCAATACATCCTTCCACCAAAAAGAGCCCATTTCCCTTGCAGCATGGGGCACCTTGGCGTCATAATATTTGCTCCAAATAAGCTGTACCCATGGGATATCCTCCTTATTGTAAAACTTGTTCAACTGCTTTAGGAGAAGAGCGTCATTCTGTAACCAAAGGTTAATCACACTTAAACCTCCCTTCTCTTTGGGTTTCATCACAGTTGGCCATGCCATAAGGTTTCCACCTTTCTTCTCAGGGTCATTGCCTCTCTAGAGGCACTGTTTCCTTACCCTATCAATGTTGTCAATGACTCCCTTTGGTAACTTGATGGTACACATAGCATACGTGGTGATAGGAGTTATTGTAGAGTTGACCATCTCCAGTGTGCCGGAGTATGAGAGCCAAGTCGAGCCCACAGATAATCTCCTTTCAACTCTGTCCATCATCGGAGTGAAATCCTCTTGGTCGTACTTGAAAGCATCTAGGCCCCTAATTGGGTTTCGGTGATTAATGACAATGTTAGATTACTGTGACTAACATGTGTTTTGTAGAGGCAATTAAGTTAGGTCACGGTAATGGAGATCAATTGGGCAATCATGGTTGTCATGCCCCTACGATGGAAATCGTTTCGGTTTTCAAAGGATGGACCACAAGGTTAAGGATGACTAGTTCTAAGTGTCGATTGGAGTTGAAGAGACACTTAGAGTAGTTTAGGACTTTGTTTTTCCTTTGGCCGCACTATTAAGGGGGGTATGGATGGGTAGCTTGACCTAGATGAGTCTAGTGAGTTAGGTGTGGTGCACACTTGTTAAAACTAGTGCTAGGTAGCTCCTACATATGCCTAAGACCCAATAGAGCAAACTTCATTTATGTATGATCGAGAGTTGGAAGTGAATGGAGGGTCAAATACTGACCGGACGCTAGCTCCGGTGCGACCGGACGCTGGCCACAGGGTCCGGTCAGTTTATTTGACCAAGGAGATTGCATCTGGTGCGACCGGACGCTGAGTGGTCAAGTGACCGGACGCTGAGAGGCAGCGTCCGGTTGACTCTAGTAAGGTTCTAGAAGAGTGAATCTGCGACCGGACGTGTCCAGTCAGTGCTGACCGGACCCTGAGGATCCAGCATCCGGTCGAGTACAGTAAGCATCCAGTGAGGGAAAAATGGGACCGGACGCGTCCGGTCAGTGGTGACCAGACCCTGCCAGCGTCCGGTCAACACGTAAACACTGGTGTGCAGGTTGAACCCTTGATGAACTGCCAACACTTTTTCAGAAAGAATCTGTTGAAACCGTCTGGTCCTGGTGCTTTATTAATAGGCATGCGCTTTACAACTGAATCTATCTCATCTTCAAGAATTGGTGCAGCAAGCATGTCAAGATCATTGATCTGTGTAACAAGTTTTGCAAGATCAAATAGCATAGTTGGCGAGGATGTGGTACCCATGCGGTTTCTGAAGGAGCTCCAAAGTAGGCCTGCTTTACTGTCATGATCCTATATCCAAACACCTTGCTCATTCATAAGCTGTGAGATGGTATTTCTTCGGTAGGATATTGTTGCCATGCCATGAAAAAATTTAGTACACTCATCACCAAACCTGATCTGATTCACCGTATAACGCTTTTTCTAGTATAAATTTTTGTAGCATAACCAAGTACGCAACTGTCTCTTGACCACTGCGCGCAAATTAGCTTCGGGATTGAAAAGGCCTCTTCTGTCCTCTAGGGTATCAAGAAAGAAAATGACTCAGTTACAATTGCTCATTAACAGTTTCAGGTTAGAGAGATACCTCCTCCAATCCTTTAATCTGGCTCTCAGTGCTTTGAACTTTGCTGAAATATTTCGGGCACTATCAGTCATTGCAGATATAGAATTCCAGCAATCATACTGTGTCTAGGAAATCATCTTGTTCTGCCCAAAAAATTTCAAAACAAAATAGACTTGCCTTGGGTATTTTGGTACTGATCGCCACCTTGCACGGTATATGATCCGACGTAATCTTAGCTAGAGGAAGAACTTTAGTGTTAGGGAAGTCCAGGGTCCAGTTGATGGACATGAAGAACCAGTCAAGCTGCTCCAGTAATGGGTCCATCTGCATGTTAGTCTAGGTGTAGGCGCACCCTTTCAATGGTAATTCAACTAACCCCAAGTGACCAATTGCCTCATTAAAAGTAAAAGTATCAGCAAGATTACCACCAGGCCTGTTTCGGTTGCTTAGCGATTTGTAGAAATTAAAGTCGCCCAAAAAAAATCAATTCTCTGGATCACTGGTATCATGATCTCGAAACCAGCTAACAAAATTTGAGCGTGCAGGGTCATCACATGGACCATAAATGGTTGTTAGCTTCCAGGTTTGACTATCATGTACTGAGCTAAAAATTACTGTGATGCCGAAACTTCTTTTATCAACAACCAGTCCTGAAAAGACAGCACTATTCTAAAGAACCAGTATCCCTCCAGAAGCACCTACTGAAGGGATGAAATCAAATCTATCAAAACGGCGCGGAGCAAATTTTATGATGAAACTGACATCAAAGGTTTCTTTCTTCGTTTCCTAAAGAGAAATAACTGAGCTAGCGCTTTCTTCAATTTTGTCATGAACCGCATCCCATTTCTCAGATGCATTGATGCCACATATATTCCAACACAGGATGTTCCAATTGCGAGTATTCATCGGATAACAAGATAAAAAAAGAGGAACATGACCTGTTATGGCTAGCATAAACAGGAATAGGATTAGAACGCTAGAACTTCCAGAAAAGCCACCACACGTTCACCGGCGTCTTTGACAACACCGTGGATTATATCATGCTGCAGATTCATCATGGATAACTAGTTTAGAGCCAGGCGCTTGCATGAGCGCGTCATCAGATAACTCCGTAGGAGCTACTCCACAGTCAATGCCCCATCCATGTAGTATTGCAATGGGAACCGGGCCTACTTCTCCGGTAGACTCATCGATCAGGACTACACCACAAGTCTTCCTCCTCTTCGATGGGTTCTTCTCTAGCCTAACCTCATGGAATCCATACATGGCACGGTTGACCCTCAGACTACGCCTGACAGAGCTCTCAACCATCGGGGTGACTGAACTGCTAGAAGATGCAGGAAGAGACATGTTTGCTTTCTTGTGCTCCTGGCGCTTTTCTTGAATTGCTCGACTTGACGGGCTGGGCTGCATCTGTCCCATCTGAAATTCAAAATCGTCTGGGCCAAAAGTTGTTGGGCTTTGCTTGTGCCCAACATCTCCTAACAGAATGACAGGAGTAGTATTCTCTTCAATTCTCACTTGGTGATGGCTTTCAAGTATCAGGGGCCAGAGCTAGAGAGCCATGACATCTAAGACAGGTTTCCATGGGACAATTTCCATGCTTGTACGTGCTGAACTTGGGTTGGTCCCTGGCTGTAGCAGAGCAGGTTGAATAGCATTTTAATCAACAGTAATCAGTGCTTGGCCACTAGATGATGTGGAACCTCTGAAAAATATATCTGTAGGCTTATGCTTTCGGCTAAAAATCAAGTTGTTGTGGAACAGCTGATCAGTGCAAAGCTTGTTCACTGCCAAGAACTTGAAGGCATCTTCATCTAGAGGTGAGGTGGTGTCGTGTGAGGACGAGCTATCATCATAAGACAGATCAACAAGGTCCATTGGGATATCTGGTCCAAAAGCTCTGAGAAAGCGCATAGAGGAGCCTAAATGGTCAACGTCAATAAGATCTTGAGGGAGGACCATGTGATGCAGGACAATCACTTGTTCTTCGATTTTTGGGGGCACTTGCAACTGTTCTTTGGAAAAAGGGGCGTAGACTCCGGCACCTCAGCGACTCCAGCGCGAGAATCTAGGGTGTTTTGCCAATCAGAGATTAGTTCAGGGATTTGTTTTGGCATCCAAACTAATCTGGTAAGACACTTCCTTTGAACATGCCTGTAATTGTGGCAGGCTAGACATCTGACTTCATTTCTGCACTCAGAGCGCAAGTGCCCAACTGCCAAGCAACGACTGCAGCCCATCAAAGAGTTTGAATTCGAATGCAACTTGGAAGCCTTCGAAGAATTCACCGCTTGCACGGGATCATAGACGTGGACAGGGAGCGAAGAATTGTCGCGGAGAACACGGCGCTCGAGATGGAAATCAAAATTAACACCGATGAATACACTGGGAGCCAAACAATCAATGGGCGAGGGAAGGGCACAACATAGAGATCCAAACTTGATCATCCCAGGGGTGATCCGAGGACGCCCCTAGGGGATTGAGCCATGATCTTGAGAGGAATCTGAACCAGCGTTTTAGCAAAAGTGACATGTTTATTGGTGGCCTTTTTGAGAGATCTCTTAGTGCTCTTGACGAGCACTTTAGACCATTCTCTTTCCTGCTCTTCTTCCTAGAGGCGCTTCTCTTCCTCCCAATTGGGAGTACCATTACTCCAAAGATGGAAATAAATGTCAAACTAAGAAGTAATCACACATCGGAGGTGATAGATTTAACACCCCTTGTGTTATGGGCTAAGAAAATTATCGAAACGAGTTCCTCGGTTTTTAAGATTTAAAAACTCACATGAAATGATGAACAACTCTTATGTGACTTACTATTCTGTTTGAGAGGAACAAAATAAAAACATAAGTTAATTTATTTAGTGCGTAAAACCGTTAGTGAAAATCCTAATAAGAAAAATATAATACGTAGCTTTAATTGTGTGGCATGAAAAATAATTTTTATAAACAAAAGTTAAATATAATTTGTATGTAGTACTTGAATAAAGTTTAGAGTGTAAGTGTAGTAGATGGAAATGCAATAGTAATTTTTGGAGAATAAATACTACTAGTTAGTAATTTGGGAAGTCAAAAATCAAACGTGGAATTTAGAAGGGTCATTTTCATTGCCAACAAGCACTTGAGCTTATGTTTAAAAGTATCCTTCTTTGGCAAATTATATTGGACAAATTAATTAGGAAGTGCTTAGATATTATGTTTCTAAGAGTTAGTATGTAGTATGGGCTAGGTCATGGTACAATTATTAGTTGAATCCGGCAAGGTTTAGACCTTTTCAAAATTCAATCAAAAGTGTTAGGGGAGGTTGGTACTAATCCAACATTGAATTCTTGTAAGTCTAAAATGATAATAGACAATGCTATTTTGTCATTTAAATTTTAACAAAAATGCCTAAACATTAGTTTCATGTTTTGGTACCGTTGGTTGCATCAAAGTGAGTACTTTTCAATGGTATAGGGGTTGGTTTAGTTGGAATGTGTTTTGATCATCAATTAATTGATACAAAAAGCGAGAAATGACGTTTGGACAGCTAGTCTAGGGTCTTGGGCGCCGGTTGGCGGCACCAACTTGGCATGCCCATATTTTCTTCTCTAGTTTGCCTTGGTCTGAGTATTTTGCTCCATCTAGTAGCCTTAGGTACCATCTTCAGCTTGGCCGAGTTGGTTGGGTCATAACCGAGCTAGATGGGTCGTGGTTGAAGATTTAAAATTCGTGCATGTCGTAGTTCGAGTGGTCGGGCGCCAAGGCGCGGTCACCGCGTGGCCACCCCATGCTGTGCACTTGGTCGCGTCTCGCGCGCCCCGCTGTCGCGTTGGGTTGGTCTAGCCGCCTTGGATTGGCCGAGGTCGGTCGCTGTGGGCCACTAACCCCATCCTGTGCCCATTGCCCTGCCTCGCGTTGCCGCTCTGGATGTTGCCACAGCCGTGCTGCTGCTGCCTCTATGTTGTATCGCAGCTCAACCGCTGCCGCTGTCATCACATCACCACACTGTGTTGCTGCTGCTGCTGCCCTCGTGGTCTCACGTCGTGACGCTGCTGCCCATCGCATCTCTGAGCACGTGGGTTTGCCCCTTGCTGTCTCGCGCCGTCGCCTTGCCATTAACGGTGTCGCGGTCGCTCATGCCACGCTACCCGACTATCTGCATGCACACATTTTGTCTTTGGATCCTGAGCATGTGTCGCCATGGTAGCATCGACCACACCTCTCCAAGGTGAGGACGGACTGAGCCGGACCTACCTCTTCCCCCTCTTTGGCTTTTTCTTCCCTGTCGCCATGCCCGACGTAGCCGCTTCCTTAAATTTGGCAGATATAGGTCACCTCATGTCGATTCACTACCTCTATGGCTTTGCCTGTGAGTCATCTAGCTGCCTAACCCTACCCCACCTTGACTCGTGTCATGACGGACTCCAATTTTGGAGTCACTCGCCTTCGGGCCCCTAAGGCCGAATCGACAAATGCCGAGAGCAGTCATCCACCCCCAGAGTCTCTCACGTTCAACCAATCGCATCACAAGCTTCGCCTCCTTCTCCACTTCACCCTACACACCACTACCTAACCTCTACTGCCTTCACGCCATAGCTGAACGCGGTGGTGCCATCGTGGAGCACCGCCGCACCCCTCTGGTCACACGCGGCCAGCCTTCTCCGCCACCCCCTGGCTCCAACGAATGCTACGGCCGAGTCTAGGGTAAGCTAAGGATGCTCTCACGATAGCTAGATAGCTGTGCGATGGTCTAGGGTGACCGAAGCGGCCGTGCCACCGTCACGAGCGACCGCTCGTCGTGGCCACCATTTTCGAGAGCTCCGTTGCTCCTGTACCCCCGCTTAGCGTAGGCGCTAGGATCGTACATGGAGGTCAGTGAGAACCTTAGGTGGCCAGCGTGGTCGGCCAGTGCCCATGTCTACTGCATCGGTGAGCGCAGGGGCCATGGGACCTCCCTGATGTGAAGATGAATTATTATAGGGTCATTTGTGCATAATTGCAGACTACGTGAATAGCGCGCATAGTGGACGCACGATTTCGTTAAAGCGTGGGGACTTTTGAGCAAATGCATCAGCACGCATGTGAGCTTCCCCGCGCGTGGGCTGCGCCTCGTTGGGCCACGAGGCCGAATTTGCTTTTTATTTTTCCTGAGAAATTAGAAATAGTTATATCATTTTATTTCTGGGCTGATCTTTGATAATTAATATCAATTCATATAAGTGTCCAAAAATTGTGAAATAAATTTTGTTGAGTTTCTAAAAATGTTGTCTATATGATAGTATGGTTAGTTTATACATGTTTGTGCTAATGCTAAGGTCTATTAAATCATTTGAAAGTGTTTAATGTCATTTAGATTAATAATTGTAGGATTTTTTGTGGCAAATTGGTAATAGCTTTGGCCATGAAATTTTTACAGTAGATTCCTAACATTATTAGGTGCTCACTGTAATTTTTGTAGCTCCATAATAATTAGTTTGCTAAGGTAACTAAATGAGCCCTAGTTCGAAAATATATGTTTAAATCAATAAAATGCCAAAACACCTAGGGATTTTATAACTAAAACATTGTGGGAAATTAGCGCCTAGTTCAACAACCTAGATACATAGCCTAGCACATTAGAGCTATCTCGTTAGCTTGCGAGGCGTAATCAAATTTCTAAGAGTTTCGGTTGTCGTTGATTATTTACATCTATGCGTTGCATCTACATATATCATAATAGGAACAACGATGGGTCATGGAGATGCTCAAAGTAGCAGAAAAGATGGCGCCTGATGATTGTGTCACCACAATGGAATGCTAACTTTTGGTTATATCTTACCCAGACAAGCCCCGGTGCATAACCCATATTATTCTGCACGTTATTTTATGCTTGTGCATTAAGTTTAAGGAGTTGACTCAAAACCCACTTACATATATATATCCTTATCCTATGAGACTTACTAGTATAACAGGATCGTGTAGATTGCTATGCTATAGAACTCTGGTAGAAGTCAAGTGATTGCCTGTCACTCGTGAGAGATAGGAAATATATTATTGTTACTATTATCATGTTACTATCATATGGAATATATGTGGATAATAATTAGAGACCGGGCGGGACCATATTTTGGATTTGGATTTGGACTTGGTTAGGTAACCGAGCAAGGCTCTAATTGCGTTTGTCCCGCCTGTGTCGATTGAGGACCGTCCGTTCATTGGATTCTAGTCAGGTCACAGACTTATTATCTTGAGCACATACTTGCTTATGGGAGCAAAAAGGCTCGTTGCTCTCTTGTCGTGGGTTTCGGCTCTCTCCGGACCGATTGATTGGAGGCGGGGATGGTGGAGGTCTAAGCACCACACTGAGTCCGGGACTTAGTTGTGGGGGCTTGGAGTCCAAGTTTAGACGGAGACCTGGACCCCTCTATAGGAGAGTGGTGGGTTGGTCCT